TGACGGAAGGGACTTATGGACCGTAGATCCATCGACGGTCCGTAAGTCAGTCTCGTGGATCGAAGACGCGTACCTGAACAAAACTTTCCTTAATTCGTTTCCCTTTTTATTTAGGAGTTGTTTTCTATAAATAGGGCTTGTAAACCTCGTTTTTGGGGGTTAGACATTATTATTCTAGTTTTACTTTGTAACTTTGGAGATTAGTTTGCAACCCTAGCAATTATTGATTTCCCAAGTTCGTTTTGAAGATTTTGGCTTTGCAATTCAAGTTAAATTTCTGGGTTTGTTCTTTCTCTTTACGTAAGTTCATGATTTCTCCCTCTACAATTATGAATTGTGTTCTTGCTAATATGAGTAACTAAATCCACAACTAGGGTTGTGGGAACCATGATCGATTAACAAAGTATGAATAGTAAATAAGCAATTCTTGACTAGTATTTTGCATGCATTGATAATTCTTTCGTTTAGAAGTCTTTTTAACGGTGGCCAACGTTAGAACTCGCCTTGTTACTACTTGCCGGACCAAGGAGGTAATTAACAAGAAAAGAATTATCAACATAGATTTAGTGTGATACTATCTAATAGGCTAGTGTCGATTGGTGCGAAGTAATAACTAAGCCAAACATCGATTATGATGTCTAATATGAGGTAAAGGTAAGGGTTAGTAAATTATACACACGTAGCCGGACCAAGGTGCGGGGTGAAATTCTCTAGATGCCGGACCAAGGATTTAGAGATACCTAACTTATCACTTTGCATGTAATACACTAGAAAAGGATTGCTGTTACTAGGATTGCTGCGTTATGAGATTGTGGGGAACACGTATACCCTAGTTATTTCTCTTATCTTGATAACAACCAAAGTTGAGTTTGATTATTGATTACTTATTAAGTTCTTACTATTTGTTTTACACAAGCACAACCCCCCTTTAATTACCTGTTTCTAGAAATAATTTGACTAATTGAATATAATTGTTGGTTAAAGTAAAGTCTAAACCATTTTCCTCGTGGGATCGATCCCAACCTACAAGTTGGGTTCTTTACTTGATAACGATCGCTTATACTTCTGTAAGGAGGTGTAATTTGAGCGTATCACTATTCCCTCCGCACTCTCCAACCCCCACCCTCTCACCCGGTAAGAATTCACCCACACTGGATATTAGTACCAAACTAATACAACTTATCATGAGTAAGTAATAATTAAATGAGGTGAAAGTATACATTAACTAACCACAATTAAGTGATAATGTCGTAAATCTATTGATTTGTTGTAAATTGGTGGTGTGAGTAAGTATTTAGCCCTCTCTCTTTCTTTGTGATATCCAACTAACTACCAAATTTCTTTCATTTTTCTTACATCACTTTTACTTTTCCATAACTATACTTCAATGGAGATGAGAGTAGCAAATTATTAGATGAGTTGACTAACCTTTTTAGGTGATGAAACTTTATATCCTCTGCTTGCTTTGTTATTTGATCAATACAGCTCAAAATTCTGGAAATAAACAGAGGAATAATTAAGACCAAAAATGGTGCATAGTATTATTCCAAAAGCATGAATCAATTAGAATGGGGCCACACTTGTCTGCCACAAAGGCAAAAGATAAAGAAAATTAATCAAGTTTTCAATATTCTGCTTACTTAACATCACTTCATCCATTTTATTTGACAATATTTTCTTATTTCCCTGTCCGAAAAATATTAACATTCTTATAATTTTTTAGTTAAAAGTTTTATATCCACACAAATACTTGACACGTTTATGATTATAAGTTTCAAAAGTACTTTTATTTTTCTTCTAAATTAAGCTTTGTGAAAACTCAAACAATAACAAACAAAATGCAACAGAGGAAGTACTTATTTGACCATGTATACTTGCATGCATGTGAGATGACAACAAAGAGAAACCCTTCATACGATAAGATATAATTTATGTATTGAGTCCTATGTGGCATAATGGACACCACGTAGGACACAAATTGTCATGTAATCACGTAGGACGTGTGTGTTTATTTGCTTAACTTTATACAAGCGTAAATGTCTACTTGTGCACACTCAAAGTTGGAGGGCATATAAATGTGAAATCCGACCAAGTTAAAGGGCATACTTATGTATTATGCCTATTGAATAATCTGTCTCCACTCTCCCCTATTCCACCAACTCCATACATCTGATGAGTTGTATGGTGGGTGTATCAAGCCCATACAACTACTCAATGCAAATTCTGAAATTCTTTCTTCTCTCAATCCTGCAGGTTCATGCCAATATATAATAATTTATGTTGATTTTACTCCTTTTACTTCTCTAATGTTTGGTGCTATCTTATAGTTGTGTTGCTCATTGTTTGATACTTTGTTGATTGCCTATTTGAATGATGGAGTCAAATATGAGAAAGATGATGTGTTTGAATGGTAGTAATTATCATATGTGGAAAGGCAAGATGAATGATCTTCTATTTGTTAAGAAAATACATCTACCTGTGTTTGCTTTTAATAAATTAAACCCGAGTCTATGAATGATGAGGATTGAAAATTTGCATCTGCAGGTTTGTGGCTATATCAAACAATGGATTGAAGATAATGTTAGAAAACACATTGTGAATGAGACACATGCTAGAAGCTAATGGGATAAGCTAGAGACATATTATGCTTCAAAGACTAGCAATAACAAGTTGTTCCTGCTGAAACAATTGATGGATATCAGATATATAGAGAGACCAATCCTATTTCAGATCATATAAATGTTTTCAGGGTGTCCTTGACCAGCTATCCGGAATGAGTGTAAAGTTTGATGAAGAAATACAGGGACTCTTGCTTCTTAATACTCTAGCAGACTCTTTTGAAACTCTTCGAGTTCCTTTGATTAGTTGGTTATCCAGCTTACGCTTGTAATTGCAGGTACTAGATTACATTGAAGATAGCAGTCTTGAGGAAATTGCATAAGAAACTTCAAGAGCTTAGGGTATTTTCTTCTAATCCATTTGCTCGGGGACCGAATGTATCCTTGGCAGAGCAAGGCCTTGTACCTGTCTCAGTGGGCTGCTGTAAGCTTCAGTCAGCTTTATACTTCTGCTGCCAAATGACAAATAACGTCTTAGTTACTATTCATCTTTATACAACTTTTGAATCAATAATTGAATCAATGACATCTTTTGCCTCATATGCCACAGCTAAAACACGTGCCCATAGATCTTTATACAACTCTTCCTCAAAATTCACAAAAAAAGATCTTATGAATTCTAGGTCTTGTTTCACCTGCCCAATTTCTTCCTTTATCAAAGCAATTGAATAAGCATTAGAATCCAGCAAATCATTTAAGTGTCTCTTTAGCAGATGCATGAAGAGAGGTCCATCACTCATGGGGAAGCAACATTGAGATGAATCCGGGACTTTCAAATAAACATATTTGAGATCTTCCTTGAGGAGTTCAATATCTTTTAGCAAGTCTAGTGTTGTACGATTTGTTTCAGTGGTACTCTCTTTCTTCATTGCTTTCTCTTCTAAGTCCCAAACAAGATTTGATACCTTCCTGGTAAGTGCTCCAACACGTGCCAAGAGATCAAAAAATGTGTCATGATGAATCAAGTCAGTAGGCATGTCAGTAAGAATAATCAACAGGAAGTCCATCATGACGTGAATGTTTCAAGCTCCTGAAATGCTTGGGTTGATTACAGTTACCATGTGCTCTTGTAGATGAATCAGATATTCTCTAAGAATGTCTGGAAATGTTTCCAGAATCTGTTTAATGAAGCGTCCAACTTCTGCTGAAGTTGAAGATTTCAAATTTGTATAACATATGTTCATAAGCTCCAATTCAATTGGAACAATCTTCAAGAGTAGATGTTCTAACATGATGAGGTGAGAGTGTTTATCAGTCTGATCATCCTCATCTAGCTCAGACTGTGTATGACACTCCCAAAGAAAGAGTCCTACTCTCTCAGCCATGAGTTGAAATTGAGGTAAGACGACATAGTCAACACTCTCGTGCTCAATGCAACCATTCACTATCAACCCATGGAAATCTCTTACGTTGCCACACACATTCTGAAGAATCTCATACTGAGTCACTAATGGAAACTTCTTCTCAGCAAGAAACTTGGATATATGATAGAGATTCAGGAGCAGGAAGTCCAACTCCTCCTCAGTCATGGATGTAGAATGAGGACATGAGCTGATACAATCGTCGATATTATCCATGAGGCAACCAAGGACATGAGGCATGTTGTATTTATTGTCAACATCAACCAAAATTGACTGAAACAGATCTTTAACCTGTTCTCTTATCGAAGTCATTACATCTTCAAACTGCTCCAAATCGGAATAAGAAAGCAAGACGTTTGCACAAATTAATGCCAGCGCAAATTTCAGTTCTCTAATTAGATCCACGTCAAGAGCTATTTGATTTTCTTCATTCTTTAACCTCTCCATGATATCCACAACATTGACAACGTCCTTGCGAAAAGCAGAAAATGACACCTGCCAAAAGACCAAAGCCACATTTCTATCATATATCATATATCATCATCATATCATATCATATATTACCAAA